CCCCCCCCCCCCCCCCACACACACACTGTTGGTAAGAATGCGTCCCGCAGACTTGTGCTTGGATTCTTTCAGGTAGCAGTGTCTGCGAGGGGCTGTGCCTGTACCCTGAGAATCCTAAAGGGTGGGTGACCCCAACAATCCCCTCAATTCCTTTGCTAATACAAAATCCTGTTCCTACCCAACAGGAAGTACAGTATCAGGAAAAGGAGGGTAGGTCGTGTAATATATGGACAATACATCTCAAAAAACCACAATTGCTGTAAGGTAAGTAACTATTTCTTCTTCAAGTGCTTGTCCACACAGATTCTACTCTTTGATTCACAAGCAGTGACCCAGATCACAGGATGTGGATGCTAGGAGTCTATCTGTAATACAGCTGTAGCAAAGTGAGCATCAGATCTTGATGATTCTACTATGGAGTAATGTTGCATAAGTGTATGCACAGAATTCCACCACCAGAACACTTCTCAAAGAAGCTGCTTGAGCCCTGGTGGAGTGGACTGTTGTCCTCAGTGGGGGGGTCTAAAGGAGCTATTCCATAGCATAATTTAATGCAAGTAAAAATCCAATTCCGTCAACTCTGAATATATATAGCCTGATGTGCAAAAGCTACAATTAACCAAGGTGAAGCCACGAATGGCTTAGGCCTATCAAGATGTATTGTGGGTGCTATCCTACTTAAGGTATGAAGTTTAGCTTTTCCCTTGTTGGAATGTGGCTTGAGGAAAGAACACAGGCAGGTGTATTAGTTGATTCAGATGGCAGTCAGAGACAACTTTTGGTAAAAATGTTGGGTGAGCCCTTAAGGTCCCCCTGTCCTTAAGAAATATTGTGTATGGGGGGCCCACCATGAGTGCTTGTAATCTCCCACCCTTCCAGATGATGTTACTGCCACTAGGAAGGCTAGTGACAAGTGGAAGAGGAAACACAGCCAGGGGCTCAAAGGATGCATTAAACCCATCGGTAGGTTGAGATCCCAAGGAGGGGGAGACTTCCTGAATAGTGGAATATATGCACATAAGTGCCTAGCTACTGCGGGGTGTGAGAATGTTGAGTGACCCTGCATGGGAGGACGGGAAGCTAAAATGGCTGCTATGTGGATCTTAAGGGAACTTCTAGACAATCCTGAATTCCTCAAGGACAGGAGGTATTCCAGTATATCAGGTATCTGAGCTTGAGATGAAGGTAACTGATGTTGATGAGTCCAACAGTGAAGCTTGGCTTCTGTTGTCAGTTGGCCTGCGTGTGTGTGCTCTCTCCCTATGCTGTACCAACCCTGCACAGACAGCTGGCCCAGCAGACCTCGACAGCACTTCTAAGACCACAGACACTCAGTTCGGTGATCAAGGAGCTCAGGCAGGTTTATTGCCCTCAAGACACAATACTAGCACCTGGCAGACTCTACGGGGACACTAACACATGAGTGCCCAGTGGCAAGGACTCAGCTCAGTCAGCAACGGGACTTTCCACTGCACCCTAGGCCAGACAAAGACGCCCCTCCTATGATTTCTCTTTTATACACTGATACAAACAAGTTACGTATTACTCTTCTGATGTGGTTAGTTACCACCCTACACTTTGTACCTGTTGGTTCAAACAAAACATCTCCATTCATTATTCATGTTAAATATTCTCACACCTCTTGTCAAACTAACTGTAATGGGCTATCTTGATTATCACTACAAAAGTTTTTTCTCTTAATTAATTAGCCTCTTAGAGTTGGTAGATCAACTCCCACCTTTTCATGTTCTCTGTATGTGTATATAGATCTCCTTACTATATGTTCCATTCTATGCATCCGATGAAGTGGGCTGTAGCTCAAATAAATTTGTTAGTCTCTAAGGTGCCACAAGTACTCCTATTCATTACCCTGTCATCCTGACCTTATCTTTAGGAGGGGTCAGTGTGGACCATCTTCGGGGAATGTGTTTATACCACAACTTTATATCGGGATGTGCTTGTATTAGCCTTCTGGGATGTATTTATGTGAATACCTAGTGCCCAGTACTTCTTAGGAATGCCTGTGTTTTAGCAACGCCAGCCATATTCTTGCAAAGTTCATGTACTGGACAGAAAACTTTTAAGCAGGCATTTGCTTTGTAACAGGGCCTGACTCTTGCTGATTGTGGTTCTTGCACCAGGCCCCGTGTTCCAGGCTCTCTTTCTACTACAGCTTCCATTTGGCTGAGTAAGCATGCCTCGTTGAGTCTTCTCTGCTGTGGTTAAGAATATGTTGTACTTCTGATGAGCAGCTCCTCTCTAGTGCTATTAGCCAACCAGCATCCATGCTGTAAGGTACAGGGAAGTTTGATCCAGATGGAGGATCTGCCCCTCCCTTTGCAATATCACTTATGGCTGAAGAGGTAACTGGACTGGAGGTCAAATGGAGAGATTCACGAAGTCTGAGAAACAGAACTGCTTCAAGCCAGATGCCAGCATGGTCATCTTGGTGGAATCCTGTCTCAGTTTCCCAATGACTCCTGGGATTAGTGGAATTGAAGGGTATGCATACATTAGATCCAGAGCATCCGACAGAGATCCCTGATCCTGGCCTCCTCTGGAGCAGAACTTGTGACATTTTTTTGGTCTGTTGCATATAGATCTATAAGCAGGTAGACCTCACCTGGTGAATGTGTCCTGAATGATCATATGCTACAATGACCATTCATGGTTGCTTGAAAACTGTCTGCTGAGGTGATCTGCCAGAACATCCTGCCAGCCTGCTAAAAGCACTATGGGAGTAATCTCATGTCACAGGCATCAATTCCAAAGGTAATTTGCTTCTCGACAAAGAGGGGTGAATCCTGCTCCCCCTTGCCTACTG